ATACAATACAGTCAGTTCCATCATGGTGTAACTGCTATGGCTTCCAAAGCGGGAGACAGGAACCTCTGCCAGTGTGTGTAGAATAAACAGCTGGCAGTGTAGACACTACAAAAAAATGTAAACACATAGTTGTTTGGATCCGTGTGACTATGTGTGTTATTACAGCTTGTATAACAAGCTACAAAAAAAATAGACACTTCCATGTTCATCATTTGTTAGCTGTGACATCATCGTGAACTAGGGGTGTGGCTTATTTGATCGACAAACTGTCAAAACGTACTATTGTGTCGTAAATCTGTCAAGAACATGCTTGTTTCTCCGACACTGTAAATTTGCAGCAACCTACAGGAAGCGGACAAAATTCCACTTGTAAATCTTTATAATTAACATGTGATCTTTAACGGCATGCAAGATTTAATCTGTAATGAAATTCAGAGGTGACTTTTTTTTGGTAGTGTAAACTTCTTTCATCGACATGTTGGTCACTTTGGTCACAATGCTGTTTAACTAGTGGCATCATTGGGATTTAACCCTTGCTTCATCTCTACCTAAAGAGATCGATGCAGCAGCGCTTTAGTCCTTTAGTCTGTCCAGCTCTCTCACCTCTGCATCTGTACCCTCTGCTCAAAGAGATCACTAACTGCATTGTGTTGTGTTTTCTGCAACTTTGAGGCCAACTTTTGTTTTTCAGAGCTTAGTATGGCAAAACAATGGAAGAAATGATAATATGAAGTAGTTCTCTACTGAAGACTTTCCTGTGGTGGAAAAACTTACTGTTATAAAGTGCTGACACTGGAGACTCCTTTTATAAATGTTAAATAAACATCACCGTACCAACAACAAAAAATTAATGGCCAATCAGATTTGAGAATTCAACAGCACTGTGGTATAATGTAGCTCGACACTAACGTCCTTTGATACAGTCTAATCTTCAAGTACTGTAAATATATTTCCAAATCCATTTTGCCAACTCATGGCTTTATTGTTTGCTTATCATTTTTTTGCTTCTGTTGGAAAGTGTGTACTCAGAGAGCGTCTTTTTTTGGTTGACCTGACGGAATTATGTCACAGTGTCCAGAGGAATATAGGGCACTGGATTTGCTCTTTTTAAAGGTCTTGCTGTCCTGGGATTCGAACTCACCACCTTCTAACCACTAAGCTACTGTGAGAAATATGATAAATCATGAAACATTCATCACAGTCGTATCAGTACCATGCTGCTTAATACTACACGATGATGGATGTTGTTTTGAGGTATTTTGAGAAACATTATAAGAGGTCTTGTAAGATTTTTGCAGTTGTAGTGATCACTTGATTCTTTGAGTCGACTCTTTTAGTGGAACGTTGAGATCCCAGTCGCATACATGAGCCGTTGTTTTTTTTGTTTTTTTTTTAAGCTGTAGATGTATATATAGATGTTTATAGACATATTCAATTACTCTTGTAGTGTAATTTATTCAAAAGGCTTCCATGGGAAAATTGTGTGTGAAAGGTTAGTCGTGTGTTTGAGTCTTAGCTGTGTGTGCGAGGTGGCATGACAGGGAGGATCCGCTGCACTGCTGCTTGTTAAAGATGTACTACAAGTGATTATGACAGAGTAAATGAAAATTAATCTGCTTAATATAGGTTAGTTAAAAAAAAAATGTCAGTGAGTCATTTGGGAGCCGAAAAGAGTCGACTCCTATTAGTGAGCTGAGTCAAATTGATCTGACTCAGTGAAAAGAGCCGGAATTCCCATCACTCATTAATTGCTAAACAGATGTGCTCTTGGTCACAGCAAGGTAATTAGTGTTGTTTATACAAGTTAATGCAATAAACATCTTTAATAAATGAGCATGATTAGTTAGTGTTGCTGAAGACACACACACTGCTCTTACAGCTGAAAAGAAAACTGCTGTGTCATCTGTATGATGGAAAAGTGCTGCCTGAGAGACCTCACATGAACCAACTGGCGAGATGTAATAAGTGGTTGTGGCTAGGGGAAAAAAAATCACTCAGCAATTTGTTTGCTTGAATAAGGACAAGAACACGGTGCAGTTACGATTTGCTAAAACAGATGAGCGATTAGTTAAATTCACCTTGTAGGACTTTAAAACATTTCCTCAGTCTCAGCTGAGCTGTAATTTCAATCCACCAGGCGACGCATCAAATGCAAAGTGATAACTCCTGTCTTTTGTGAATATCATATTGCAAAGGCCAAAAACACTTAATATAGGCTGCAATAAATTTTCGTCTGTGACTTGCAGTTAAACAAGGTGGCATCATTACCTATGATTTAGTAAACAGGATTAATAGCCATTAATATAATATGATAATTAATAGCTAGAGAATTATTGGCACTCTTACTGTATAAAGCTTACACACTGAGAGATGTCCAAGAAAGGAAGGAAACATTTAGCTTTTACAACTTTATTGTTGCCTTCAATCAATTTTTTTTAAAGAAAAAAAAAGACATTATTTACCTGCGCCAATCATGTAATGTGTATAAAAAAATACATATTCAGTTATTCAATTATGGCTGTAAGAAAATACACTATAAGGCCAAATGTTTGTGGACGCCTGTCCATCACAACCATGTGTTTGCTCAACATCCCATTCCAGATTTAGTCCTTCTTTGCTCTTATCATAAGCTCCACTCTTCTGGGAAGGCTTTCCACTAGATTTTGGAGTGTGGTTATGGGGATTTGTGACCTTTCAGCCACATGAGCATTAGTGAGGTCTGACACTGATGTTGGTGAGGAGGTCTGGGGTGCAGTCGGTGTTCTGGTTCATCCCAAAGGCGTTCAGTGGGGTTGAGGTCAGGTTCTTCCACACCAACCTTGGCAAACCATGTCTTCATGGACCTTGCTTTGTGCACAGGGGCAGTGTCAAGCTGGAACATGTTTGCCTCTCTTAGTTCCAGTGAAGAGAAATTGTAATGCTAGAGCATACTATACAACATCCTATACAGTTGTGTGCTTCCAACTTTGTGGCAACAGTTTGAGGAAGAACCACACATGGGTGAGGTCAGGTGTCCATAAACTCTAGGTCATAGTGTATTTAAAAGACTGGAACAGGCGAAATTTTGCCAAGACGTGGATACATGAGCATAGATGATGTATGTTTGTGGTGATGATGATGATGATGATGATGGTTATGGAAGTAAACGAGCACATTCAGAATTGTGGTTGTCAATTTTTAAAATCAGATGTGACTATGTCGAAAAACAACAAATTGTTTTGACAAGGTTATACCACAAAATGCAGTGCTTGACCAAAAAAAATGACCAAAACCAAGCCTTTTTACAATGATATGGTGGAGGATCATTGATTCTTTGGAGCTCTCTTTGCAGGGGCTCTTGTGAAATTATTTTCATGAATTCTGTCATTATATTTAGACTCAAAACCTTGTTGCCTCTGCCGGGAGGATAAGACTTGGCCGTAGCCTGATCTTTCAACTAGAGCTCAAACATACATACATATCAAGACAGGAATACAAAATCAGGAGCACAGATCCTGTTGAAAATGTGGTCCGAGTTGAAGGAGGAAGTCCACATGCACAAACCTAAGAATATAAAGGAGTTTAAAATGTTCTGCATGGAGAAGTTGACCAAGATCCTGCTACAAGTGTCTCCAATCTTTTGATGAAGTTTGCTAATATATGCAAATCTAATATCAACCCACAACTTGCTCAGGTTAAGGAAGATTGTTAAAATAACGTACTATTTGGATGGGATAAGATTTCCGGATATATGTCTGTTGAGTAATGGTGTTGAAGGAAGTTTGTAGAAATTATGATCGACTTGCACTAGAAGCGATCACCAAAGACCACGTACACGTGGTAGTCAAACTAAAAATTTCATGCATGCTTCATACACCTCATGTTAAAAATGCTGCAATCCATTTTACGCAAGATTCTGCAAGTTCCAAGTCGATTTTCCGAAGTTCTGACCTAAAAGCATCCCAGTGTTTTGGCTTGGAAAAAGACAGATTCCCAGAGCAAGTTCATATTTGTATGCCTAGTCTCTGAATTGAAGATCATCTAAACTTACAAAGCTGTTAAAACACCTTTTCACAGGAGAAAAGCTACATATCAAGTTTTATCGAGTAGAAATTAATGCAAAGGGGAATTCTGTTTACTGCTGACCGTGTGGGTGCCGCCATATTGTCGTGATGTCATTTGTTTGTCGGAGAACTTGGGCAAGATAGATGCCACCTGACTTCTGGACTTGGAATTCCAAGCTGAATGACTATTCCATTGCACTTTGCCACGACTTTTCCGAGTACAATGGATTGCTGCATAGCTACATTACCACACCTCTCCACGTAAAACTAATCCAATCCAAACAGGGCTTAAGAGAGAACATCATGTTTTTTTTTCAGCAAGACTGACTGCCTTGATTTGCCACTATGAGACAAAACACACTGCTTTTCCTTTTTTTCTAACCCAAAATATCATAACATCATAAGTCACCAGGTCCCGGCACCAGGTTGTTAGAAATTTGGCAACAGCGACTCAAGAACCAGGAGACTGGTGTTGGATTTTTCAGCAAGACCGACTGCCTTGATTTGTGAGGCAAAACACACTGCTTTTTCTTTTATTGTAACCTGAAATATCATAAATCACTACAAATGACTTATTTTTAGGATATTATTTAAGGATAAGAAGTGTCTGGACGTGTTGGACCAACAATTCTCTTGGTTCGTCAAATAATGGCGTAACTCACAAGAGAGGTGTTCGTGAGACATCCAGGTCATGGTACCGGGTTGTTAGAAATTTGGCAGCGACTCAAGAACCAGGAGACTGGTGTTAGATTTTTCAGCAAGAGCTCCTGTGTTGATTTGCTTTAGGATATTATTATATATTATTTAATCATGAGAAGTGTGGGTCCCTGGAGGACTAGTGGTTAGGCCACAGCGCTCTCACTGCTAGGCCTGGGTTCGTTTCCCAGCCAGGGAACCAGCCCCAGCCCCAGCCAAATCAAATACGTGGACCAGTGATCTGCCATGGCACCTCCTAACGAGAGCAGCCGAAAGAGGAACAACAACAACATTTAAGGATGAGAAGTGTCTGGACATGTCGGACCAACATTTCTCTTGGCTGAAAAATCCGTGTCACGGCACCAAGTTGTTAGAAATTTGGCAACAGCGACTCAAGAACCAGGAGACTGGTGTTGGATTTTTCAGGAAGACCAACTGCCTTGATTTGTCACTATGAGACAAAAACACACTGCTTTTTTTTAATAACCCAAACCAGTGCAAATGATTTATCTTGAGATGAAATTTAGCTCACATTTAAAAATACAGCTCTGGATCTGGCTGACCTTCTGCTAGTGTTTTTGGATGATACGGGGGGCGGGGCTATGTCGGGGTGACGTCATCACAACTGGGACGTAAGCACCCCGACACAATGACAACACGCGCAGTGGAATGCTTGTGAAATAAACGCAGTTGAACAATTTCACCGTTAAAACCGTTTTTTTTTTAGTTTCGGATTTTGAGTGTTAAAAAATAAATAGTCTAAATAGCAATAAAAAAGCGCTTATGAGTGGAGTTTATTGCTGTTTTGCTGGCCATGAAAACACAGCGGCTCCTATCAACAAGCTCAAGCGGGACGGAGTGAAGGATACAAAGCAGAGAAGAAGAAGAAGAAGACTCCTAAAGTCAAGCATGCATACAAGTTAACGTTTATTATCATTTAAAGAAAACTACAAATAACGGATTCATTGCATAAAAAATAAGCCTGGTTTAAGGAGTAGGAAGTGTCTGGAGGTGTCGGACCCGCCAGAAAACAAGTAAGCTACGCTAAACAGCTAGCTTTCTCCGCTTCTAAGCGTTAGCATTTGGTTTCTTTTGGAGCTAAAAATGTTAGCACTGTGTGTGTGTGTGTGTGAAGACTTCCTGACCTTCCTGCAAAGACGAGAAATGTTCATTAAATCATTTTAAACGAGTTTTTTTTTTTAAGGTTAGCAAAATTTTATCCGCTTTTGCAGGCAGCTAAGGTGAGCTAAGCTAGCTGTGCGTTTCCTGTTTTGGTTCAGCTCGTTTGCATAAACAACAACAACAATGACAACAGCAACAGTAACAGCTGGTTCCTGTAATGTTTAGGCTGCACGCCTAAAAAATGCACCTTGACGTTATTTTAAAAATGTCGCTCTTCTGTTTGACTTTATTTCCTGGCATTTGGGCTGCATTTTAGCCAAGCAAGCTAGCTCCTGATGCTAATCAGTAGCTAACAACAAAGTCAGCCACATGTGCCCTTTGTGCTAGCTGTTTACATCCACACACTGCTCCATTCCCCTGCTGTTATACTCATGTTATAAGCACAGAATGCACGGTTAGACGATTTGCACTCGTTTACGAAAGGGAAAGTCGTGCACCATGTGGTATTTGTGTGTAGGAGTTGTGTGTGTGTGTGTGTGTGTGTGTGTGAGATTGTGTGAGGCTCATGTCTCCTCTTTGTTGTTTTGCTTTGTCTCTGAGCACATGGCGCTGCTTCTCTTCACTTCATCCGATCTCATCAGCTCTGAATTTAATCATGCACATACTCTTCTTCTTTATTAAATCCTTCATGGAAGAACATTTTGGCCGTTTTGGCATTTTTAATGCATTTTTGATGCAACATTAGATATATTTTACATTTGTTTTTCCCTGATAGTGACACTGTGCACGTGATATTACAACAAAAAGACACTCATTCCTAGGCATTAGAAATAAAATCATTTTATTCCTTATATATATTGCACTAATACCAGAATACAGAGAACAGTGTTACTATAGTATGTCAAATTTCTGAAGTAAAAGTAACTAAGGCGCTGGAAAAGTCGAGCTATGACGTCATAAATCTTGCCCAATTTGCATATTCATGAGAGAATATGAAAATGAGATGAAGTTTTATTAGAATATCAAAGGAAAAAAATCACTCAGGGTGTACTGATACAGGAAAATAATCCATGTGTGATGTGTGGTTAGTGTGATGCGACCCCCGAAGTTGATTATTTTCCAACAATAGGACGTCTGGATTATTTTCATTCTTAACTGTAATACTTTTTAGCCATTTATAGATACATTTATCGTTATGGAATGTATATGAAGCTTCACATTACAGCTTTACTGTGACAAGGTACTGATACTGGAGACTCCTTCCTTTGCAAAACAAAAACAACTCTGCTTTTAATTATGCATAAACCAGCATTCGTTATTAAAACAATGAATTTTTATGTGAAAATTTTATGTGCAACATTGCAAGTGACGTCATGCTCACGCTATTATTAAAATATTACACTAGCAATAATGTCGTTTTCACTCATTATATAATTCTATCAATGACATACATATAATTGAATATGCAATGTTTGATATATATATAATTGAATATGCAGTGTTTTAATAGTTTACTTCCTGTTTTAATAGTTTAAATAATTTTTTTTAGGTAAGTATATTACACTATATAGAATACAAATTAAATTGGTAATTAATAATAGAGAACCCATGCCATGTACGGATGATCTGCTTTACTTCAAAATGCATCCAGGTCTTCAACTTGGAGTTTAAGTTTAAAATATTTCCACTTATGATGACAGCAGAGATTCATTTTATGTTTCAAATATAATGTACTGAGATACTGAAAATACACTACTGAAATATCAGGCACAGTAAGCTGTGTTGTATATATCATGTTGTATTGGGTCCAGTTGTGCTGCGTGGATTTATTGTTTTGTAACTTTTTCTAACTTTTTTCCTAATACTGATCTGATACTGACATCCTCACAGTCACCAAATGACAAGTATCTGTTGTCAAGTTATACAAAAAAAAAAAATGCAGTGATATTTAACTTAAGACAGTCTATATGCTCTGATCACAGGCAAAAGGAGCAAAAAATAACGTGTTCACAGTGTAAAAATACACCAGTGAATAAGAAGTCCAGTTGGTATTGGGAGTGGCATTAATCTGAATATCCACTCTGTTGGTAGTTAATAGTGATTACAGATATTATGTCATCTACACCCGTTGTTTATAGCGTGGTCTGTAAAGCTTATCCAGCTGGACCAGTGATGTTAACCATTTAACGTTGGTCGGTGTTAAATAACCCAGCATTATCAAAGGTGCTTTAGTTATGGTTGACCGGTTATTGACTGGTCACATGACTTAATTAAGGAATAAAACATTTAGGGGCATGCTGGCATAGAAAAATAATTAGCGACACTGATATGAATTGGAACATGATTATTTTCCAACAAGGGCATGTTCTATTCCTCTGGCCTTTTTATTTTAAATTAAAGAACACCATGTATTTTTATCCGTTTGTAGTTAGATTTCATGTTGTGGAACATCTGTGAAACAAGTTGCAGTTATCCCCAACATTATGGCAGCAATAAACAGCTGTTTGCTCCCTAGCTTCACTTTATTCCTCTCTTTTAAAGTTAATAAGACAAAAAAAGAGAAACGCTTAGTTACAGGTTTACTTCTGATTGTTACCAACACTGACACTGGATGGTGAGGAAAACAAAAAACATCCAGTGAGCAGCAGTTTTGCATGAGGAAACACCTTGTTGATGAGAAGATGAGAGAGGTCAGAGGAGAATGACCAGACTGGCTTGAGACTGACAGGAACGTTACAGTAACTCTTTACAGCTGAAGCGAGCAGAAAAGCATCTCAGAACACACCACATGCCAACCCGCAAGGCAGATCAGCTTCAACAGCAGAAAACCACATCGGGTTCCGCTCTTGTCAGCCAGGACCAGGCTACAGCATGTACCGAAACTGGACAGTTGAAGATTGCAAAAACTGCCGCTCACTGGGTGTTTTTTTTTCTCCCCCACACCATTCTGTGTGTGGAGACCGTTGTATGTTTCAGTCAAACCCTTACAGTTTGTGTGTCTGTGACAGAGCTGAAGAGAATTTGAGGCTGTCGGACCAGAGTGCCTCGAGCACCAGTGCTCCCCCGCCCGTGGCTGCGACTCGTTCTTCACAACATCCCCAATGCGACCATGGGAAATAGCTGTGAATAGGCGGCCGCCAACAGCCCCCTTAAACCAGAGGAGCTTCATCGGGGGTCCCTGCAACGCGCCCGTGCACCTCAGGAGAAGGTGGGACTGTGCTGCTACAACTCTCATTCTTTTAACAAGTGTGTTCATGGTTCGCTTACTTAAAAGGTATTTAATGCATATATTAAATCAAGTTGTACCACATCATTAGCTTGTATTGTATTATCTTAATCCGTAAATAACGGTGTAATTCACCAGAGAGGTGTTAGTGAGCCCTCCGGGTCACGGCACCAATTTGTTAGATATTGGACAACAGTGAGACAGGAACCATGAGTCTGGTGTTGATCTTCAGACTCTGATGTTTGTTATGTGCTTGAAAAATCTTCAGATCAGATCAACCAAAAGAAACATAACTTGAGAGAGGTTTTAGAGGCTCATTCTGAAGATGGAGAGGCCAGCTTATGTCAAGAGAAGAAGTGATGGGAGAGGGGAGAGATAAGAGAGAAGCAGCCAGACCATATGTCACCCCTGACCTTGGTGTGTTCTGAGAACATACCAAGAATGAGAAATATGGCATATTCAGCATTTAATATAGATGAACATAAAACTAGCAAATGATCCTAGAATTAGAGACAAATGATTAAAAGCACATAATTAAATTCAGAGGTTAGCAATTGGTTTTATTGATTTATCTACAGGGCTAAATATCTTGGTGATATTTAGCCTGATGTTTCTTTTCTTAAGCAGGATTCAAGACCACAAAAGCTTCCTGTTTACTATATGTGCTCATTGTATAGGGTAGGTGATGGTATTGTAGAACCTACATGGTTCACTACATGCCTAATAAACTGCCCTTTGAAACACGGCCCCAGTGATCCACGTGATCCAGTAAGAGGCTGTTAGAAATTGTTAACCTGTTACATATGTACATACATCATTCATTTTTTTAGAAAAATATTTACATAGGAAAT